TGTGGTATTGTGTGGTGTAGGCGGTAGTGTGTATTGTGGATTGTTGAGATCCATTTCGACGTCCTGGCGCGTCGCGTGTTGGGTGGGGAGAGGTGGTCAGGAGCCAGCCTCTGCGGAGGACTGGGGCGGCATAGGTGATTGAGAAATGGAAGTGGTAGTAATATGTCGTAAATGGAATGCAATATCGTTACTTTGGATTGCGAAAAATTGTGCTGTGGCGTGTTTAAACCGAGTTGGTTTGTGATATGAGTAAGTTGAAGGACTCGCATGAGAAAGATAGGTCCGATATTGAGAGGTGATCTTTTAGACATACTTGAGGTTGCTTTCAACTTCGATTCAGATGCGATTCTTATTGGCTATCATAGATACGCTGAGTGTATTGAGCGATCACGCTGACATCACTGGGAGGTGAAGAGTTTGTCTTTGTTATCACCAGAGGAATAGAGACGTAATGAGAAGTATTCATATGATTAACTAGTAAGGCCAGCCCGGTTCTTATAGCCGACTCATGTGAACTCAGAAGATTTCATGGATGAACGTGGCGGAAACTAGGATGGTGTCTCATGGGGAGTTCCATTCTAAAACACAACTCGGGGTTAGATCAAGTTCTCAAACAATTAGGACAGGCTCAGGAACATAGGGTCGTTTCATAGGGATTGCGTAGTAATACTGTTCGAGACAGAGCTTAGGGCTGTCCTATTATCTGATGTACATATATACCCAGCGTGAAGGAGTATTCTTCTTCACGCAACGTCTTCTGTTTATACTCATACCTATTGTTCACTTACTTATCTCTTCTCTAAAGAAGACCGCCGTTATTGTACCCTTCTCACCTACTACTTATTTTACCTTTACTTCTTACGTGAACCCTATACCTAACGCTGAATTTATACCTCCTACTCTTAGGAATCACCACCATACTCCACACCTGTAACCTACTTGTACCAAATTCGTACCCTACGGAATACTAGTAACACTGCTCCTTGAGAGAAGAGCAGTGACTAGTGCACCGTTTATACTTAACTCCCTTCCAATGCTTTGTGTTGTAGATGGCAGTTCATCTACAGACGCGAAATATGGCGCCAACATCTTTTGGCTGGCTCGAATTTACATGGATACGGTCATCTAGAATAGACGATATGCAAGATGTGAATTCCACTCTTCCCAAGGTTTGTCAGTTACGCACTAAGTCTAAATAGACCTTAGGGGGGTAGATGAGTGTTGGCACAGGCTGAAGCTGCTAGCAGATAGATAATGGTTAGCCACTTTAATCTTGATTCTCTACTTAAGTTGTCTACAGAGAGTTATCTTATGTAGTTGCCAAGACCCTGGTGCGATCAACACCCTTGCGCGAAGGCCTACACTTTGGACCAGTTAGTATGATACAGACAATGAGAGATAAACAGTAAAAATTCGATTCATTATTTGTCGCTGATACAAATTTTACAGATCATTCGTAACAGTCAATCCGTGGCTCCCTCAGAGTGTCGGGTTCACCACATTAGCAGTCTCATTTCACGGATTATCAATTTGCCGACTCGAGCCAACTACAAGCCCACGATTCAGGTGTCCTACACGATATACACGTATCACTATGAATGGATATAAGATGGACTAGCTTGCGCAAAAATGACGTATTTAACGACTAAGTTCTATATGCCTTAAAACTGGTTACGAATTCGAACTATGGCTGTCATCTAATCGGTCCAAATGGTATAAGTAGTACATTTACCTGTATCAAATCTCAGTTGGGGGACTATTCCCAACACCTGTCAGTGGTGTCTCCTACGAACTTCCAGCTCTCACTGTAGTGTCTGCAGAGCCGAGATTGAGTTAAAAAGTCCTCACTTCGATGAGGATTCCCAATTGCTTTCACGGTCTGTATCGTCTTCATCTCTCAGCACCTTCCCCTATCACCATTTTCATGAAGCTAACCACGATCAGATCAGATGGCATGGTCGGAGCCCTTCTCATCACCCACCCTTGATCATGGAGGAAAAGCCATCCGATGAGTTTCCGGAGCGTACCCAGCACCCGATACGGAGATGGTGGATTGGATCAAGTCGGCCTCGACTGTTACAAAGAAGGGAGATATAGATGAATATGCGCACCTCATGTGGACCCGGTGTCTAGGCCTCGCCTGGCTGGGACTGCAGGTTTTTTGAGACTTTTTCCCGCGCACGCAGTTTCCGTTGCTACCATTTTTTTTGGGTAGAAGGTTCCGTGGAAAAGGTGGCCGAATTCCATGGGTAAACACTGAGCTGAATGGCTATTCATCAAGGGGAATATATCAATGATCTTTCAAGTAGCAAAAGAGAATCGGAGCACTGTACAAGATGTGGCTTGGGTCAGAGAAGAGCCCAATGTGCTAGATAGTCATAGACTCAAGAAGTACAAAATACACAAACACACGCCCACAAATTTTTGAAATTCGAATATTCAACCTTTCCCCCTCTCTCTCCCTCTCGCGTTCGTCGCATTCCTTCAATAAATTGTAATCGAGTCACTGGCATTTTCATCATGCCACCTTTTCGAAAAAAGCTCACCAACTCAATGTTGGACAACGCGAGAGTCCGCCCGAGGTCTCCTGCAAAAACACCTGGCCTCGCGCAAAAATTGTCAAGCTTATTAGCGAGTGAGGCCTTTAACCCTGGGAAGTCCTCCATACTTCCCGATCAAGAGATGAATGATTCTGACCCGATCAGAACAGGAACAAATGGTCAACAGACCGGGAAACCCGCCGAGCTGGCCCCCGAGGCAAGCAGTTCAAGGAAAGGAAAGGAAGTCGTCCGAGAGAAGACGACAGAACAAGCAGAAACATCTGCAAGAAAATTCACTGTGCCAACTCCAAGAGGCACAGCTTCGACATCAGCACCGGAATATCCTCCGGAGCTGCAATCAGTGATGGAAGCCGAGAAGCGTCGCACGACGTAAATAAAAGCACGTCTATCAATCTGTTCCACTGCAATGAGCAGTGTTGAAGCAGAACTCTCGCCTCTTTCAATCGGCGAGAATAAAGACTTCGTAGATGGCATAAAAATTTACCTACGAGCGGCCATTGACCAGTTTGTACAACCCGGTCCAGGGACCACACTACCAATTCTCCCTGCTCGCCCCAATAACCCTCTTCCGACGAGGGCTCCAGAAATTAGGGTTCAAACCCCTTCGACGATCCAGGCTCCGGCACCAAAGACGACTTGGGATACAATAGCCCGTGCAGGTCTAGGCCGCAGCGCCGAACCGTCGACTACAAAGGCAACGCCGCCCGCCCCAAAAGCAAAAAGTGCCAATCCGAGGACAAAAGTCGACGCGAGACTTTTTCTACGCCTCAAAATTAACCACCCCCACCGGCTCCTGTCACCAGCCGGCGTAAGATCAGCTGTGTCACAGGTGCTAGGTACCGCTGCCGACGACATCACGTTGGTTCAGCGGGTCAAAACAGGCTTTGCACTGATAGCAAAGAATGAACTCGCTCGGAAAGAGATCCTAGATTCCTCCGTGTCACGGAGCGAATCTGAAATCAAACTGGAACCAGCGTCAAATCTGGTTGCCTTGTAAATTGCCACCGTACCGGTGACAATAAACACACTTGCAGGTCCCATCGAGATCACGGCAAAGATGGTTGCTGACGAAGTCACGCGAGTGACGAAATCGGTTCCGTTTCTTGTCCGTCCGCACGGGTACTGTAAGCCTGGGGCGCCATACGAGATCTGACAAGCCCTCTTTCCTCGCGAGTCCGCGCCCATACCTGGATTCCGCCTCTTCGACGATCTGGAGCTGCGAAGCTCTTCCGACCTCGTCACCAACTCGAACAGTGCAAACGTTGTCTTGGCTATCACGCCAGCCGCGGATGCTCCCGCGCTTCAGCCTGCTGGAACTGCGGCTCAAACATACACTCGGAAGTAGAGTGCAAGGCCCTCACACGATGTCTCAATTGTGGGGGACCTCACCGATCGGACTCTCGGCACTGCCAAGCCAGACCCAGAAAAGATGGACCGGTGACCAAGAAACAGCTCGCAGCAATTCGCAAAATCGAGCAAGAAATATATGCAGACTTTGCCCGTGTCAAAGCTGCATACAAAAAGGCCGAAGAGGCGAGGAACGCCTCTGCGAAGGACGTCTCCATGGCGGAGGGATCGGGTTTCGGAATTCTGGAAACCGAAGAAGAAGTTTGAGGACTCGGCAGTTCTTGGTGAAGTCTACGACAACTTTCACAACAAAAAGCAGGAAACCGACCGACAGCAAAGGTTACCTGAGAGCTCATCTTTTGCTCTCAGCAGAGATTAGGAAAAGTCACTTGGAAGATGTGACATGAAAGGAAACGGGCGAGAAGCGCGGGATCTGGACCACATATGAAATTCTTCTAGATTTTATTTTTTATTTTTTATTTTTTCAGTTTATTTCAGTTTTTGTTTTTTGATTTACTCTTTGGTTTTAGTTTTGATTTAAGTTTTGTTGTTAACTTCACCTACTTTTGTTGAGGTTCCCGCGGTTGGAATGAGTTGGGCCTGTACGCAGAGAACCCCACCGGCTCCACCAGTCTTGTACCGATAGTGGACCTAGAGCTTTAGCTTAGGACATTAAAAAATAAAAACAAATCTCAGTTATCGCTATATCCATCGAGACACTGCGGCATGTTATCTGGGCGTGAGGCAATCAGGCAAAGACTTCTCAAAGATCACTTAGTTTTGCAAAAATTCTCGCCCTAGTGGTCTCCATATTTATTTTTGTCAGGCGTCTCTATTCCTACAAGACGAGACTGATTTTTAACCTGATATTGATTACAGTTTTATGCCGCCCTTTTCTTCCTCGTTCCCAAACCCAGAGCCCCTTTAGCGTCGGAGAGGACATACATAACTTCTGATCCATCAACCAAGGTCACCAAGCCCCGGAATCTGCCGTGCTGGCATGATGTATGGCTTCAAAATCGGCAGGGAACTGCAAACTCCAGTAATACTCTTGGGAAGTACACCAGTTTTATCGACGAGCCTGAAATAGAAATGAGTGTAGTCGTACCAGCCTACAATGAAGAAGAGCGTCTAACAGTTATGCTGGAGGAAGCGGTTGAGTACCTTGAAGCCGAATACGGGCGGAAGCCCAAACAACTAGAGAAGTCCAAGGTTACTCGAGAGCAGCCTTCTGGGCATAGAGTTGTCGGAGGATATGAGATATTAATCGTTAACGATGGTAGCTCGGACAAGACAGTCGAAGTCGCCTTAGAATTTGGTCGACGCCATAATCTACATGATATCCTGAGAGTCTGTACTCTTAAGACGAACCGAGGAAAGGGTGGCGCAGTGATCCATGGGTTTCGGCACGTGAGGGGCGCATATGCCTTATTTGCGGATGCCGATGGTGCCAGTCGCTTCACGGATGTGCACAAATTGGTGGAAGGATGTAAGGAAGTCGTAGATGCTTCGGGCCGGGCCGTCTCCGTAGGCAGTCGCGCGCACCTCGTCGAGAGTGAGGCCGTTGTCAAGGTAGGCACCGCTTCTGTAGAATTACTGAAGATTTACACTGCTAATACTGCTTGGTTACAGCGTTCGCTCATCCGGAATGTTCTGATGCACTCGTTCCACCTGCTCCTCCTTCTCCTGACCCCGCCCGCTACGTCACGGATACGTGACACACAGTGCGGCTTCAAACTATTCTCTCGCCCGGCACTTCCGTATATTGTGCCGTACATGCACGCCGAGGGCTGGATCTTCGATGTAGAAATGCTAATGCTAGCAGAGAGTGCACCGCCTGCACTGCTCCCAGGTGGCGGCGAGACGGATGCGGGCATCAGAGTCAAAGAGGTCTTTATCGGGTGGAAAGAGGTGGGCGGCAGTAAACTTAATGTAATCTGTGATAGTTTGGGTATGGCTTATGGACTTGCCTTGCTTAGGGCTGGCTGGATGCTCGGGGTATACAGACGTTGGTGAATTAGCCTCATGTATCAATCAAATTCTGAGTAGACCGATACTGTCTTATTTCTAGTACGCTTTGCCAAGTAGAAATCAGTCGAAATGGCTATCAAATGAGCTTGTTTAATGCTATGAACTATGCCATCATATCCTACTTGCCGTCGGCTCTTTTAGTCATACACAATAATAGCCTTATTGATAACCGGCAGTGCGGCTTCTTTAAACTTCCTGTCAATCTAGCTTGGGAATGCTTCGCTGCCCGCAGAGCACCTAATCTCACCTCACCATTTCCAATGCCACAAAGCCCACGTATTATACTCATCAACTTCTAGACGATAACATGCGCGCCACGAAGTCCTTTTTCGCCGCCTTCAAACCCATTTCTCCTCGATTCCAGAGTCTGCTCGTCAAACCTGCTCTCATTGAAAAAGGGCTTACCGTCCTGCTCCACCCTGCCGGTCGCTGGTCCCTCTCGCCAGACGGCCTGGCTCTCGAACGTCGCTTCCGTTTCGCCAATTTTCGGAACACTTGGGTGGGCACCGACGTCTTTTAACTCTTACATTACAGACTAACATGAGGTGACCACGTGGTCACGTGATCAGAAATTTATGAATTCGGTGGCCGCTGAAACTAAGCGTTTGGGTCATCATCCCGAATGGGCAAATGTAAGTGGTCTTAGAGTGAGATTAGCTCGAGGTAGAATGATACGCTCATGTCCTGTATAGGTTTATAACTCAGTCTTCATTAGATGGACTACTCATTCTGAACCTGGCTTAACTGACACGGACGTGGAAATGGCCAGGTTTTGTGATGAAAGGGCAGAGGAGCTCGGCGAGATAAAATCCAACAGGACTGAGGATGAACTAGTAAGGGAGAATAGGCTAATTGAAATTCTTAATGTGAACAATGACTCTCAAGATTAACATTTAAATATCCTAGTTGACGTCACATTTCTCATTATTTAAACAGATAGAAAATTACATTTCGATGATGTTCTACAGCGTTTATAACCATGTAGGCATCTAGATACTCACTTCAAGAATTGATGTACAAGTCTCGTTGCAGGGAAGAACTTTGGCAGAGATTATTATTTTTTTGTGTTTGACGTTATATATGGTACCTCTTATACTGTGTCATAAAATGGATGTAACAAAACCCTGCTTATTACTGGGCCTTCGCCAATTTAGCTATCTTGCGCTCTCGTCTTTTCTTTGCTGCTTCGGGTCCGGATTCAGTGTCCATCAAGTAGTCCCACCACCGAAAACTACTAGCATAATTCCCAATAAAACGCTCATGATGTACATCATGATGTTCAGCGCCGGCCCAAAAAGGTAGGAAGTGGTGTAGGCTCCATGGAAATTCGTAACCCGAGTGGGCATCAATAGCCTGGAATAGACGGCAGGTAATCCAGAGATACATGGTGAATATATGTAGCTGACCGGTTAATAGGCACCAAAGTATAGGCATCAAGACAGTTCCAGCTCCAAGTACCATAGTTTCAATTGGGGAAGCGTACTCTGCTGCCAGTCCAAATGGTGCCGAGTATTGATGATGTATTTTGTGCACATGTTTGTAGAACGGCCCCCAATGGAAGGCACGATGCATCCAATAGTGCCACGTATCTTCAAGAATAAAGAAGACTGCGATGTGGAAACACATTGTTTGCCAGGAAGGAAATGGCACACCAGTGTCCATTCCGCAGGCCTTCGCAAATGGATGGAAAAGCCAAATCTGCGGAAGTTCAACAGTAAAGTGACTAATAAGAACGAGTTTAGTGCATGCCCATTGTTCCTTGGCTGTGGGAAGCTTTTGATTCTGAATCTTGTACTTGTTGAAGTATGGAATCTGATCGATTAAGATCCATGGCAGGCTCCGACCGAAGTATACGACTTCATGCATGACAAAGCTCATAATTCCTGTGGCAAGGACATCATTTTGCATGTAGGTGTACCATGACTATTTAAGAATGGTTGGCTTTAAATGAATGCAACGGATATGGAAGAAGCCTACTTACAGCCCACAGGCGCTCGAGAATATTCAGCTGGCCATTGTATTTTGACAGTTCGTGGTAGATACTCAAATACGTGTGTGGACTTGTTGAAGAAGTAGAATTGGAGAGGATGTCCATGGCGGCATGTAAGGAAAAGTATTAGTATGTTTATTTCAAAAGCGCTGCAAAAAAGTGATTGTCAATTCAGCTTGATTACATAGGACTCTAGTTGTAGACTAGCGCGATGCAACAGGAGGAATCATTACCCACGGTCGGAAAGTTATAATCTACATCCCTGTACATAGGTCACCTACAGTCTCATCCCAAAACAAAGTCCACATTACACAAACTATGATTGATGGATTGGATGTCAAAAGCTGAACATCTATTAACATCGTTCCATACGAACCAAGGATTTTTTCCTTTGGACAGTGATTCGGTCACATTAAACGATGTCTACAAGAGTTTTCGTCCAGACGGTGATCGGGAGGAGTGGTGTTGGCAAGTTTTTGGTCTCAAACCCGACCTACAGAGATTTCACGATTGCACAACCCAATGAATCCAACCGTGTAACCCTCAAATACGAACAGCATATGGGATAAAACCTATCTGATGTTCGTATGAAAACTACAAATTAGTTTCACTCTTTCTAAATCTATTGGACGATCTTTACCAACTAAATTAATCTCATGACTCTCCTCGAAGATATCTCACCACCCACCGAGACACCGTGAATTGCTGAGGTCATATTCGCTGCCCATGTTAGCATTACATATCAATTCTGTAGCAACTGTCATGTACTGAGAAGCTGCAGTCAAAGCACCAGCATTTTATTCGTCTATACCTCGCCCAAGGTCACCAAATACTCGACCTGCAATGAATCTCCCATGATAAAATATACATGTTACTTCGTCAGCATATGAATTAGTAAAATTGGACAAGGCTTCGGTGTCGGTGCCTTAGTCTTTTGCCCTTCTGCTCATATTTGGCCTCCAAAGTTAGGGGTACTGCAGCGTCTGGGCATGGCCTCAGGGATGGAAATTCTACAAAGTTTCCAAGAGTATGATCAAAACTGAAATATTGAGTGGAAGCTTCAATTTGGGAACAAAAAATATGGATATCTGTGAAGGCCTACGCGACTGCATGAGGCCTCCGATGAAGATAATAACCCTTAGAAGAGATGAGGAGGTACTGGTATGAGGATTGAATAGGAAGTAATGAGGGGGAAAGTACAAATTGAAGACGGTGAATATGTTAAGGGCTGTTTTTTATATTTTTTTTATATCATCAAATGTGTATCCAGCTATAAAGCTATGACACATGACCGGTACTATGTATACATATTGGATGACTCTTTTGACGTTAGAGACACTCGTACTCTGGATTTCATTCGCAAATACCACTATGAGGTATGCTTTCTAACACAAACAGTCGACTCTCCTCCATAAGTGCCCACCAAAGGGACGTCTCAAAATCTTGGGTTATCCAAGCATGCCTTCGTCATCTATGTATACCAGCGCCGCGAGAAAAGTAGTTGTGTTTTGCCGGATTTGAACCAGCGATCTACTGTCTCGAGTGGGATATGTTTCCAAGCTATCCAGACTCTACTTAGAAGAACGGCCGAGACAATATACCAGCTCACCATCCAACCATGGCGGTATTTATAATGTCGTCTGCACTCTCGCAACCGAAGTCTTGGCACGCACAAAGCTCAATTCGTAAAAACTCCGTGCCAAAATTCGAAATTTCATGTTAAGGGCTCGGGCGCGTGGTGAACGAGTCTGTGAGGAATTTGCGCACAAGCATGATGAAATCGAGTGATCTGAATGGTTGGATTTGACTTGTTCAACACCTGGATGAAATGTGTGAAGGTAGGGCCAACAAATTGAAATTAGGTTTATTGTACTTGAGCGATAGTTAACCTTGTCTAGCCTGGCCTCATTCTCGCTGAAGAACCAATAAGGCTCTGGAGAGCATTGTTGCCTAGCACTTTAACATATGTTCATGTCTGATGGGTGTATATCACCAACCCTGGGTGCCGATAGTAGAGTCGTGTTACACGAATACATGAAGATTCGGCAGAGATTTCAAACCAGCAAACCAAGTGATAACCGATCTTTTCGACGCATGATGTCTGTGTTACGAGAGACTTGCGTACCAAGGTTGATCTCACTAAACAGTATCAGAAACAGTAGGGTCGGACGGTGCAGTGGTACACCATTCGGGCTGTTCTCCCAAGTAGTTACCAGCAGATTTGAACGCCTACCCCATTGAGACAGGAGAAAATTGGTTCGAATCCAGTAATCCCCACACACCACTCTCTGTTTGACTCCTGTCTTCGTCTCATCGAGTCTACAAGTACGACCAAGTACATCCTCATTCCAATGACCACACCACTCTTCGACCTTCTTTGACCTCAGCTGGTTACCAAATACACGCCCACGCCGACATTTATAACTGACGGAGGAAAGAAAGCGTGGCGCACAAATCTGGGAGACAGTTCTTTGGGATGGATGTGAGAGGGATCTGGACAAGTTGACGAGATGATGCGAAGGACGGATATAACCTCAAAGGGCATGAGATTCCGCATTTTGGCAAGGTGTTTTTCGAATTGGGCTTTGTGCGCGCCAAGACTTCGCTTGCGAGTGTGCAGCTGACACTATAAAAACAAGCAAACGATGGAAGGTGTTGTGATCCGCCTCCTGGTGATGTTCTCCGGTATAGTTTGAGTAGCCTGGGCACCTACACCACTTGGAAAGGAGGCTTCTCAGAACACATATCGCGCGAAGAAAAGTAAACGGGTGATGTGGGCATGTCTGCATAACCCAGGGTTTTCGAGACGTCCCATGGGTGAGGATTCACGGATGAGGGTTGACTTGGGGTGAAGAAAAATCTACCATAACATCGCAGTGGTACTTGCAAATGAAATCTGAGACATGAGTGATCTAGCGATAATTGAGTGATCGATTATGCGCAATTCTCTGTTATTGTGTCATAGCTAAATAGCTGCATGCGCAATTTAAATCGGATGCAAGAAAATTGTGAGACAGTAAACCTTGTTACATTGCATAAGCCAATATTTCATTTTGCACAATAAATTTCCTGACTGACACCCAAGTTCCGAGATTAAGCAACTCACAGTTGGTGGAATTAAAGCGCTTAACAGAATGAGTGCGTTTAATAGATCCTACACTGGTGACATGTTCCCTGCAAAGTTGAATGTGGATCTAAAGACTCTATTTCTGGACAAGATTTGCATGAGGATTTGCGTGGCAAGTTCCAAATAAACAACTCCTACAAGCAAGTATAGCTGCTTTCGCCGTGGCTAGCAGAGACAAAAACAGGTAGTGGGGGCGATGATAGTTTTGGTAACGTGTGAATCAAGTTCCGGGTGGAGAAGCTCAGGCGGGCGGTGGCTGAGGAAGAATGTGGGAAGCGTAATTATTTTCCTTTTTAATTTTGTCGCGCGAGAATATTCGTAGGAGATTCCTTTTGTTTGTATGCTGGGCGGCTGAGTCCGTCATGATTCAATACCCAAGTGCATTTCGGCATGAATCCGATCCATCGATTGTGACGAGACATACTTGTTCTCTTGCGGTGGTTCATCCGATGCCGGCCAGCCCGACCCGTGCTTGAGCTACATTAAGAGTGCGATGGGACACGGGCACCTAGCACTTTAGGAAACTATTGAAGATTTAATCAGTCCATAGCTCTGAGCATGATGTTGGCCAGCAAGACGAGAATATCTTGATCTGTCATTCAAGACATAAGGGTTCTAAAGATATTAATTAGAAGATAAGGCCAATTTAGAAAGGGATGATTAGCTCGGATTAGGTATGGGCATTGTGAATGTCGTCGGAAGCGTCATCATATTAGAAAGAAGTCAAGTGCGCAATATATACACATACACGTGCCGGCAAAGACGAATTCTTCACCTTCCAGTGGTGCCGGTGTAATCGCTCAGTATGCTCTGCATATCTGGGATAGCCAAGAAGAATCGCACCCGAATCGAAGTCGAAAGCAAACACATGTATATCTCCATTTGACGACTTCTCAACCATGCAGCACTCATCATTATCTTCTGAGTCCTCAACCCCGATCTAAGCACATATCAACTCGCCTCGCCGACCGATAGAGGCGTCACCCTAACTGCAAACAGGAGCTTGCCTCATTCATTACCGGCCATCACTCTCTACATATTTACGACGCTATTTATACCCGCAAGGAGGAAATCAAGTCGAAAAATACAAAGTTGGGGTCTTGGTTTATGGGGGACTGCTGCTCTAATGGGGTTATACATCTTGAGGAAGAACAGGCAGCTGAGATGTGGAGCGAGAGGAGAAAGAAGACTCTGAAGACTGTGTTGGGACTGACATTTTCGAGGAGTTTCCAACTTTGGATTTTTTGTGGGCGCCAAGACTAAGATTTCGGCTAATTAGCCAGGAGGGCTTCTTTTGTCGATGAGTCAACGGCACTCCCCAGCGCCCTGGACGGTACAAAAGAAGTTAGGCTAAGCTACTATACAGCAATCACGCTCTGTCAAGACTTTTCTGACATTTCAGCACGACCTTCGGGAAGGAGTTGGAAGGAGGCTAGAAAGGCAGAGGGTGAATTTCCCGAGGTACACACAAGTCTGCAGCGCCCAGCTGGCCGGCCTCTTCGAACGCTTCAGAAGGGGCAATATGTCTTCGGATTTATTCCTAATGTCGGTATTAGAAGAGCCCCGCACCCAGTGGTTTTTGCGAATTTTCCCGGCTGCCATACACCCGCAAATGGCCATCGTTTCGTTGGCTGGAGAGGGGAGATAATGAAGGGCAAAGGGCTCCTCTTAGTGTATGATCGAATGAGGACTTGTGAGGGGTGGTACTGTTTGAGGGGAGCTGTATGGGAGGCATAGGAGGGGATATACTACTGGTATAGGTATCCTTGGCCTGTAGGCAGAGAGGACCTGCATGTCCTACATAGTCATAGACTCAGACAGGACAATAAAAAAAAAAAAAAAAAAAAAAAAAAAAAAATACACATACACGTGCCATATCCCTGTCAACAATTACCGAACCCGCACTGCCATAAACACCATCAATCTCTGCCATCCATCGCAATCCCAAGTATAAATATGAGGTACTAATATACCTTGA